TCCTTTCATAACGCTAGCATTCATGTCGCTTATCTTATCCGACATTACTACCATTTCCTGTCGAATTTTACTTAATATCTGACAAGAATTTGTTTTTCTTGTCGTTTTTAAGAACGCCACTAATAGGTAGTTATGTAGTAGTGCAATCCGTGTTTACACTACCACCCTTCTTCAACACGACTTCTTCTCCCTCCTCTTCCTCGTTAATTCCACCTTCTCCTCACGAATCAATGAATTCCTCGCGAAGCAATATGAATTCTTAAAGGCAATTAAGGTAGGGCTTCAATTCCCACAAACAGATTTGTACCGTGGTCGGATCCAAAAAGCGGCTGGGAGTGTCAAGTTACGGTAGCTGAGCGTGTGAGATTGAGAACCGCCGTGAGACGAAGAATCATACCGGAGAGGGATGTGAGCAAGAAGATGCGTTGTTTTTAAGTTATAATTCTTTTGCAATAAACAAAAGTGTTTTGTCTGGTTATTACAAGTTGCTGGTAAGTTAGTAACCACAAGAACGTCTACATACATTATAGACGTTTGTTTAGTGAGTAGAGACAACATTTTTAATATAAAGTCTTTGCTTAAATGAGGGTTAAAGGTGTGACTTAATTATACTTATCACATCGCATGACTTAACTCAATCCTTCGACCATTAACATTATTTCTACTCCAATTTCAGATATTTAATAAACAACTTTAACATAAATCTAATTCTGATTACTCCCCAATCCAATTCTTCCTCAATTCAATTCCTCATAAATACAATTGTCCTCATTCTGATTATGAATTAATAAACGAGCCATTAGAGTAGAACATCGTGTGACTTAATTATAGTTAATTAGTACCTCGTATGGTTTAAAGGTATCAAGTCCCCTATTAATTTTTTTAATAAAAAGAAGTTTAATAAATTGGTTATACATCAATGTTTTATATTTTATAATAAGAGTTGCTTCTCTAAAAATCACTTATAAACACTTAAAGTTGTTAGCTAGAAGTGCTTTAATTTGAAACAAGCTTACATTTCTATTTAAAATTTGAAGTGCTTGCTTTCTAAAAACACGTTGAAGTGCTTTATAAATAAGCACATAACAAGTGTTTTATGAAATAATCTCCAAAATTGTTTATACGACCAAGAAAAATTATTTGTCCAAAATCACTAAACTATCCAATTAAAGTACACACATAATATGATATTGCCGTAACCAACTAGCAAAATTATTCTTCCTTATTTTTCTGTTGGGCGCAAAAATTCTTCTACCTTTAAAATACTCTAGTTGTGTAGGCATGTCACATGCCGCATGTGTATGGTACAACCATATACAATTCCATTCCCTCACACTCTTCTCATCCCCTCCATAAAATGCATGTCAACTCAAGTCATTCTCCAACGTTCAAAGCCTCCATCTCTCTCTCTCTCTCTCTCTCTCTCCTCTCTCTCTCTTGTTTCTCTTCCATACAAATGGCTGCAACCACCTCACCGGAAGTGTTACTTGATGTCCTTCCATACCTCCGAGTCCTCAAAGATGGCACAATCGACAGACTCGCCGGAACCCAGGTCGCTCCTCCCGGCCTCGACCCAAAAACCGGAGTTTTATCAAAAGACATCGTCATCTTCCCCAAGACCGGCGTGTCTGCCCGACTTTACCGACCCAACACCGCCAAACCCGCCCATAAACTTCCCCTCATCATATACTTCCACGGTGGAGCCTTCTGCATAGCTTCCGCTGGCGAGCCGCTTTACCACACCAGCCTCAACAACCTTGTTGCGGAAGCCAACGCCATAGGGGTTTCAGTAAACTACAGATTAGCACCTGAGCACCCGCTCCCCACCGCTTACGAAGACTGCTGGGCCGTCCTCAACTGGGTTTTCAACGGCGGCAAAGGTCGTGATTCATGGGTCAAGGACCACGTCGATTTCGAGCGCGTGTTTTTGGTCGGAGACAGCGCAGGGGCCAACATTGCACACCACTTGGCCTTACGGATCAAGCCCTCCGATCCGGATCCGAAATTGAAGATAGCCGGGATTGGTATGATCAATCCATACTTTTGGGGGAAGGAGCCACTTGGTGGGGAGGTGGGGGATTTGGTGAGGAAGTCCATGGTGGACACGTGGTGGAATTTCGTTTGCCCGTCGGAGAAAGGCTGCGACGACCCGCTTATCAACCCGTTTGTGGGCGGATCGCCGGGGTTGGAGGGGTTGGCTTGTGACAAAATACTTGTTTTGGTGGCAGGAAAAGATATATTGAGGGATAGAGGGATGCTTTACTATGATGAGTTGGTGAAGAGCAAATGGGGAGGGAGGAAGGAGTTGATTGAAACACAAGGGGAGGATCATGTTTTTCATATCTTTAATCCCAATTGTGACAAGGCTAAGATCTTGATTGGGAATTTGGGTAAGTTCATTAATCAAGATTAATGGATGTTGAATGGATTGGAAGCATTTGTTTTAGTTTGTGGAAAATGTTGTTATGTGGGAAAATGACAAAGTGGGGGGCCATTTTCAATGGTGGGATTCCTTTGTCAATGTTTGAAACTTCTTGTTGTTTTTATTTTATTTGTAACGTGATTGATCTTGTTGATATATGATATGAAATAAAGAAAAGCTATTTTCAATAGGATTATACTAGTTTATCTATGAATGGGGTGTGGTTTAAACCTCATAATGGGAGGGGAGAAACGAACACGGGATCTCATCAGAAGGAGAGATCGAACAAAAAATCTCAAGTATAGAGGTGAATGCTCGTAATATTCTTGAGATACAAACTTTTTTGCATTACAGAACAATCCATGAATGAAGTCCAAATCAAACTTAAGCTATAAGCATCTCCAATGGTGTAGGCAAACAAAATAGGTAAAACTGTACTATAAAGGCTGTGGCATGTCGCATACACAATTGCCTCATGAACAAGTTTGTCGCTCCAATAAACTAGGCAAACCAAGTAGGCAAAATGATACTTTAATATTTGCTTTGGATAATACTTGGGGGATGCACATATGCCAATTTGTGAATAATGTATCTTTACTAAATAAATCAACGATCAAAACTGTTCAATTTGTTGATATGAAGATCACTCATACGAAAAATAATTTGAATCAAAGATTATTATCATCCAAATGTATTAAATAAATGGACGGTTTACTATGAATATGTTACTTGGTGCTTATACCATCGATTTGTGCTATATATTTGAATGACAAAATGATCTCCGATTGAAATTATTATTTGTAGGAATGATCTCAAATGAAGATTAAGAAATTGAACGGTTTCGTTTGTTGATTTTATTCAATTAAGATAAGTTATTCGCAAATGGAGAGATATGTGCATCCCCACATGGAGGGATGCAAGTATTATCCATTTTCTTTCATATTTAACCTTTACTTTTATCTTTTATTTTTATCTTCTCCTCCACATAAAATGATTAGCATAGAAGGATATATAGTCCAATTTGCCTACACATGTGAAAGAAGGCAATGTTATCTATTTTGGGGGAGTAGGCCAAATTTGCCTACCCAATTAACTATACCATTGGAGCATAGCATAGTTTTGACTAATTGGCTTATCGATGTAAAAAAAAGATGCGGTGTGGAATGCGGATAGTTTAAAATACGTTTATTTGGGATGGCTGTGTGCAAGGGGAGCGGCTTATATAAAATAAGTTAGAAAGTTTGGAAAAATAACTTAGGGCTGATTCGGGTCGAGATTTCGAACCGAAACCCTCAATTCAAATCTTAAACCAAAACATTTTGGGATAAAATTTTATATCCCAAAATCAAACCGAAAATATGCAATTCCCGGAATTTAGGATACCGAAACTATTTCGGGATTTCGGGTTACCAGAAACTGTTTACCGTTCGCAATCTACAGCAGGAGTTTCATTTAGTATGCTCTTAATTAATAGGAGGGCATACGTGAAATCTACAAATCGACTAATTTTAGCAAGAAAAACATCCTAGCAGGATACAAAGATCCAAACTTTACGTTTTCGATCCTCTTTTCTTCTTAAATTTTACCCAAAGGGCAGAAAATCCGATAAACTAAATACTGGGTTTGTCTGCTAATCTATGTATCTGCCTATTGCAACAAAATGAGGAATCCAAAACGACAAAACGATGACGTCGATTACGAATTAAAGGAAAGAGGGGAATTGGAGCAGACCTTGGCGGAGATGGTGGGGGAGTGGGAGTGATCGTCGGGGATGACGATGTAATCGGCCAAAACGACGATGTTGTTCTGGATTTCCTCCGAGACGCACTTCGTGCCGGAGCAAGGTAAGGTGACCAAGATGGCTTGACCAGTCCGTACCAAGCACAGGACCAACACGATGGCTTTTCAAATCCGGCATCACTGAGAAGCTTCTCTTGCTGCACCGGCTGGACCAGTACATAAAATCGAAGCTTTAGTTTCAGAAGCTAATCAGTTGACTTACTTTTGATAAACCCCATGTTTGTTTCACTGAGAATTTGTGATCTTCTACTTTTTTGGGTTTGAAATGAATTGCTAGTGATTTAATTTCGATATCGAAACGGCCCCCAAATGGATAATCTGCTGTAATAATCAATACCCACAACTTATTTTTCTTTGAAAGTTTGATATGTGCGCTTAATTTTATGTATTAACATTTGAGTTTCTTGTTTGCTTTCTTTATTTTCTTACAGGTTTGGCTAGAATTGTGCGTATTGGCGTGCTGGGTTTGTTAGTTTAAAGTAAATTTCTTGTCTCTGACCTTGCAAAGGCATGGTCCTTAACTGATATATGCAACAATTTCGACCCAGTGCCATGAGTGACTCGTCTTTGTACGATAGACTCAACGAAGCTCTCCGACGGAGTAGGAAAAGGTTGAATCGATTTGAGTCAAGAAAGGAAACTGAATTGATTGAACAGATGCCGAAACCTATTCGTAAAAAACATAATACCATGAGTTTGAAATTGACCCGTGCTACTGTTTCATTGAAACGGGACGCCACTGTGACAGTGAAGCTGTTTGATGTAGTAAGGGGTGATGTGTTTCACAAACATGGTAAACGGTTTTAAATGAAAGTAGAAAATTCTCCAAGTAGAACAGACCACATCTGGATGCAGCAAGTTTCATGAAACTAGTCTTACATACGCCCATTGTTCAAAGCAATGAAAACTACTAAATGCTCTTCTGACAGTGACGAAGGTTTTGCACTCGCAACTCCCTAGAACACGACAGTGTCGAGCATTGTTCCCAGGGTCTGAACAATGTTGGAGGACATAAGGTTGGAGACGTGTTCTTCAAGGTGCTTCTTGGCATCCTGCCTTCCTACGTTGGCAATTGCAAGCTTCTCAGGTGGTAATTCATCCTCCTCTTGCACTGCTTTGTTGTATTTGACAGCCAAGTTCTTCATCTCCTGTAAAAGCCAAATAAAAAAGACAATCATGACTTCGGGCAATAAAATTTTAGCCGACCTCTAATCAATCCAAAGCAGCTCACACTTTGAACTTCCTGAACAAAACATTCAGTCCCTCTAGCAAGAGAGGATAGAACCTATAGTCCAAAGGGGCATAACCTTGAACCTTTTCGAAAATACAGATTCTTATAGTTTTTTATTTTTTGTGATGATATGGACCTCTAACCAGGCACACAACACCGAGACCGACCTTTATTGGTTTTTTCTTAAACTACAATCATAGATTTTTTGACAGTTAAAGAAGTATCTTGGTCTGCCCAGCAGACAAAATATGGTGGCCCTAAATTGCTTTCCTTATCATCCACTGCCTACTACTCACCTTCAGTGGAAACCATTATCAACGGATAACCTCATAGTGATCAAGAAAGCCAAGTGCACTAACATACTAACTTGGTTCCATATGGGTAAGTACTAAATATCACTATCATTTACTTCAGTAATAGACGCCAAAATCAACATAAAAACTTCAAGTTCCCAAACCACCACACTTAAGGTTCACAAAATCCATTCTTACCTCAACAGTTTGCTCATTTGTCTTCGAATGATTATCAAAGCGTCTAAGTGTCAGCCCATCTGTCCATTTCTTCTTGTGGAGGTTAAGCAGCATTTTCTCCTCAAGCTCATTCTTCCTGTAATTAATAGCTATAGAGTAATAATGGCGGTTCAACCCATGGATCAATGCCTGAAGAGGAAATTGCATCAGAATTCATAAAGTGGTGGTCACAAAGAATGGAGTTTAAAATTACTTGTTCAGGACTTACTTGAATGGAGGGTTTATTAAGATGTCCAAGATTAGATGTTGTCTGCCGTGGTTCCTGGCCAAGCATCATTGTTTGTGGGTTAATAAGGCGGAAGGCATCGATGACAACCTTTCCTTTCACGCTCTGGATGGGATCAACCACCACAGCCACAGCACGTTGATTCAAAGCTTCAAAGCTCTGCACGAATAAAAGCACAAGAAACAATGCATTTTGGTAAGCAGCATGACAATTACTTGCCACAGCCCCAGGCCCCTCTTTCCGCCCAACCAACAATCAAATTCTAATCAAGGGCATTGCCAGTAAAGGCATAACATTACTCAATCTTGTTGATGAAAAAAGGATCAAAGAATGTTGTACACAAACACATATGATCTTGATCAACTATTAGGAATAGTCAGTGGCAACTCTCCTCCCTTCAAATGTAAAGATTCAGAATTGGGGGCCAAGGAGGATACTAAAAACAAAATAAGCAGACATTACAGAAACGATGCTACAAGGAAAAAGAGACCTGAAGACATCAACATGCACTGAAGTCCACAAATAAATACGACATTTTACACTACGCAAAACTAATAATTGACAAGAGTACTATGCATGATTAGAAGTAATCTTAATATTTGGGAGCCAAAGAGGAAGACTAACAACAAAATAAGCAGACATTACAGAAACGACGCCACAAGGAAAAAGAGACCTGAAGACATCAACATGCACTGATGTCCACAAATAAACATGACATTTTACACTATGCAAAACTAATAATTGACAAAAGCACTATGCATGGTTAGAAGTTTGTGGTATATCAACAAGAAAATGAACTTGAGCTCAGTGAATTATAAAGTGTGAATAAAACCAACCTGCTGTGTATTAATGTCCACACCAGATAGCCAACAGCCAAATCCAGGATGCGAGTGGTACCACCCTACCACCATCTCTGGTCTGCATTGCCAGTCAGTAGAACACAAATTACAATAGGGAATCAGCGTAAACTAGACAGTTGCTCATAACAACAAAAGTGCAGAACACAGAGAGTAACCCATGCCACAATTGTATAAATATTATACAATTTCACAATGCAGGTGTTTATAAGCTATTATAACTTATCAAGCTTCACTTTCCACTCATACTCATGAAAATCCATGCTGATCAAGATTCTCACAAAAGGAAACGAAAAATTTAAAAACTAGAGCCACATCAGAAATCCATGCACGAGCTCCTTATACAATAAAAGTCTCCAACTGAATCATACCGTTCTTATAAATTTAATGATTTTCGGAAAACAATCAATTGAATGTAATCTATGCACAAGACAGAAGAAGCAATGACATGTTTATCACCTAAAACTCGGAAAACGCAACCCATATAAATCACTTGCATCAAATACCCTAAATTTCATTAATCAAAGTGGAAGAGTAGATACCTTCCAGTCTGCTTCAGCATATCAAGCATGTTAGTCTGGAAAACATGGTCAACAGCTTCGACACTAACACCGGTACCACTCTGGGGCATCGCAAAGACATCAACAACTCGAACAGTGTACTCATCCACAAACTCACCAAGCATCAATCCCATCACTTCCATCGGAACTCCCGCCCTTCCTATTAATTATCAAATCCCAAAGCACGAGTAAGAAAAAAAAGTTAACTACAAACAAGAACTCCAGAAACCCTAATTACGATCCCGAATGAATAAGTTAGACATGATTTACTAACATAATAGCCTATTTAGGGTTTCGAAATCCAAAAATCAAATCCAACGTTCAGAAAACATCAAAACCCTAAACCCCAATTTCGAGATCGAAATTCAAGCTGATTCGAGAAGACGGAAAGTACTGGAAAATGGAAAGAGGAAGGAAAGAGCTTTACCGTGTTTAAGCATCTTGAGGAGGGCGAGGGAGGAGATGTAGACCTGCTCGGAGGAATCCAAGGTGGGGGAATCAGGAGGCGGGTGCCCCAAAGCTCCTCCGGCGCCGGCGAACATCCTCTGAAGCCTCTCCATGCCTGACATTCTCTTGGTTTTCACTGTGTTTGGTTTGGGGAGCTCTCAGCTTTTCTTTTCTAGCAAGACAGCTCTGCTCTCTTTATAAATAAATATTCGAAAAAATCCTTTTTTATATTAAAATTGGTTTAGTTTTATCTGATAGGCCGTTATTGGAATGGTCCAGTTAAATAATTTGGGCTGGTTATGACTAAAGTGGGCTGAACCTATGATGACACCCAGCCCAACCAAGGGGTGCCGTATCACATTTAAGCCCAAACTGGACAGACAAATATAGGGAACTGCTATTTCTATACTAAGGGAATGTGAGAGTAGGTTAAGCCAAATAACGGTCTATCAGATAAAATTAAACAAGAGGGTGCGAAATCACATTTAAGCCTAAACTACAGAGACAAATATAGGGCACTACTATTTCATCTATGATATGAGAAATTTTTTTCAGTGTGACTATTAAACTATGTTGTGGTTTTTTGAACAACCGTTATTATCTACATTAAAAGGATGGGAGAGTGGGCTAAACCTCACAATGACTAGTAATAATGTGGTTGAAATACGCTTTTGGGGAGAATCGAACTAAGACCTCTCACTTACAAGTGAAGAGAAATATCATTAGACCATAATACTAAGTGACAACTACGTTGTGGTTTTAATGAACATGGGTCAAATATCTAACAATAAAAGAGCTGCCGTTGCAACCAACGGTTGCATTCATTTTTTCAAGTGTTTGAATATCAAGCACAGATTGTTGGACTTGAGAGAGAGTCATCACAACTAACCATGGAGCCAGAACCAACTGAGCCCAACTGTTTTGAACTCGCTCTCCTACGTACATGAATGCTCTCCTAAGGTCTTTTTTTAAGGACTTGTGAGGACCTCTTTTATTAGAGCCATAAGATTAATCTAATGGTACAAAAACTAATGAGTTTATATAACCCTTCACACCTAAACAAAATCAAAACTCATAAAGTTAAAAAATAAGTTTCACGCTCAAGAACCAATGACTGCTGCAGGTTGAAGGAGAGCATGTTGGATGTTAAACTCTAATCCAATGGCTAATAGGTCAATATAGTTAATAAGGATTGATGTGGAATGTAAGTGCAATTAGGTTTTAGTTATAAGTTATAACTTGGACTCCAAGTAAAGTATATAATCCAGTTATAACTGGAGAATAAGGGCTCTTGATACTATCTTATTTGGACTGAGATTTGGTAGATTGTATCCTTGTACAATAAGGAATTCTAGTGCATGATTATGAGAATGTGCACTAGGGTTGTAGTAGGGTTGTAGTAGTATAAATACCATGGGAAGGTCCCTGCATACACCACTGAATCATATACTTATAGAACTCCCCATAGGTTCAAGTAATACAATGGTGGCGAGTGTGTAGAAGTCCTTCCTTCCAGTTCAAAGTGTTTGAGAGTGCTTGCTGCAGCTTCAGTGCTTGCTGTGCTTGGAAATATGTCTTCACAAGGTTAGTACAATGGTGTTTTAATCTTGCATGAAGGTTTTAAGTCTAACAGTTGGTATCAGAGCCAACGTTTATGTAGTTAAAATCCATAAGAGAAGTAACATACAGGAAATCATGCATACAATATGAATAAACTGATGTTTCTTCAAGTTTCAATCTTGGTTTCTTTTCTGCTGCTATTTTTAATGCTTGCATGCATACGTATATGTACAAAGTTTAAGAGATGTATCCCTACATATTTATAAGAATCTCGCTCCTTTCCAGACCTTATGTAATTTCCTTTGGTTGGGTTAGCTCGTTTGAGTATAGAACTAAGTAATATACATATAAGACTGCAAACAAGTGCCATGATTGCTTCTTGTATTATGCTTGTATTCACAGAAACCCTAAAACTATCTACCATGCATAACTGGTGTAAGAACTTATTTTTGGCCTATTAAAACTTAGAAATTGTTTGCTTCATAAATCGTGATTGTTAAGCATGTTTAATGATTGAAAGTTTAAGGTTCATAGCACGCTGAAAGTTATAACATGATCAATGTTTTTTGAGATGTAATTGGATGAATGAAACACAACAAATTCATTTCAATCATTCAAGAACTGCTAAAAATTCAAGGTTTAATTGATCAGCTTGTATCAGTAGCCATAACAATGAGGTTATATCCCCAAATAAAGGTGTGACTAATAGATGTTGGTTTGGTTACTGATAGCTCAGTGAAAACATATAAGATGCGTAAGCATTGAAAGTTAATTGCCAAACAAATGTGGATGGCTTTCACGTTGTACCATTACTTATGCAACTTATATATTTTGCACTGATACTGATTTAACTTCAAAAACCAAACAAAGGTTGAGTTGTCTCAGTTATATAGAATATAGAGTCTTGAATGCTTAATTTCATTTGAAAATCTTTCAATAATTAGCTCACTGAATTTAATTCAAACACTTAATGGAACCAACTATAAGAAGTGGAGGCAAGATATTGAAATAACTCTCGGGCTCATAGATTTTGATTTAGGTCTAAGAGAGAATGAACCAACCAAGCCTACTGATGATGCAATTGCAGAAAAGAAGAATGAATATGAAAAGTGGGTTAAGGCTAACAGAATAGCGCTAATGGTAATCAAAAGGTCAATGTCTGATCTAGTTCGAGGGACAATCACTGAGTTAGATAATGCTAAGGCATATCTTGACTCCATAGAAGCCAAGTTCAAGGAATCCGAGAAGGTTGAAACTGGAACACTTATGAACACCCTTATAACCACTAAGTACCTTGGTGGTGATGTGAGAGAGCACATTCTTTCAATGGTTGATGTAGCTGCAAAACTTAATGCACTTAACATTAAGATAGATGATCCTTTTCTAGTTCATCTCGCCCTAAATTCCTTACCCTATGAGAGTTCAAAAAGAAAAATGGGACTTGAACTGAGCTGATTGCCATCTGTGTGCATGAAGAGCAAAATATTCGACAAGATAAGGGGAAGAAACAAGTCAATGCAGTGCAGAATATTAACACTGAAAATGCTCCCAACGAGCAAGACAATACTCCTTAGAGTTGCAGTGGAGTACATTGGAGTAGTTAGGCTTGAATTATTTTCTGTTTTTTTGCTAGATTTGGTTAATGTTGCTTATATATCTTCCATGAGAAGAAATTTAGTTTCAGTTAGTAGGCTTGTTAAATCAAAGTTTAAGTTTGATATTAATGAGATTGGTTTTTCAATATTTCGAAGTTCTAAGCTAATTGGTGATGGAGTGTTAAGTGGTGATATGTTCAAGCTTAACTGCAATATACCAATGAGTGTGGTTAACACAATGGGGCACAAACGAACACTGACAAATGACACCTCATCCAAGTTATGGCACAAGAGATTATGGCATATTTCTAGAGAGAGAATGCAAAGATTGACCAGAGAACAAATCCTGCCATCATTGAACTATAACAAGAAAAAGAAAGGTTCAGCTAGAAGTACCAAACTGTTAGAATCGATCCAACAAACATTTGTAGTCCCTTCCTAACACAAACACATGATGGCTATAAGTATTTCATCACATTTACATATGACTTTTCTAGGTTTGGGTATGTATACTTGTTGATTGAGAAATCTAGTGGCTTTGCTGTTTTCAAAATTTATAAAGCAGAAGTAGAGAATCAACTAGACTGCAAAATCAAGGTGGTAAGATCTGATAGGGTGGAGAGTACTATGGAAAATTTGGAGAATCTGGTAGACAACCTGGTCCCTTTGCATTGTTTCTGCAAGAGCATGAAATTGTTGCTTAATACACCACTCCTGGTACCCCTGAGCAAAACGAGTTAGTGAAAGGAGAATCTGGTAGATTTCTTTCTTGGTAAACTCATGATTTCACATCATATGTTTGAGGAAGGTGTTGAAAAATAAAAAGGAAAGTATTTAGGATTTGATTTAATTAGTGATTTTATATGATTTAATTAGGGTTTTGATATGATTTGATTTGGTTTATGTTTCCTTGTCTTGTTGACCACTGATTGTTTTGATTTATTTCCTAGTATTGCTCCTCTGTAATCTTATAAATACCATCTTACGGAGAAGAATAAAAAATTGAAGTTATATTTGAGAATTATGAGATTGTAGAGAATTCTAAATTTATCCTAAACCTTTGATTTTCAACTAGAGATAGATTAAGCCCATTAGGGTTCTATGAATGATAAAGAGACTAACTCACATGCTGTGGAGAAAGAAGAGAGATTGGAAGGAGGCGAATTCTGGGGAAGGAGGTGGCAGTAGAGCAACTCTATGGTAGGTAGTTATTGGTGAGTGAGGTTTTGATTTAGGCTAGAGGGATATGGTGAATTGTAGGAAGGGAATTGTATAACATTTTCACCTATGTTAAACTGACATGACTAGGTCTCAAATCCAACCCAAAACACACATCTACCATTTTGGGATCGTCAAGGCTCACCAATCATGGCATTAGTCGCTTATGAGTCCAGATCTAAATGCATGGCGTTGGCGTCACGTGCTCCTAGAGTGTGGGGCCCACCATAATGGTTACTTCCAATGTACTCGACAAGTGACCAAATATAAGAGGTAAATTTCAAATTTTCATTCTAATCCAACCCTTCTTAACATTTTCGTAATAATATTTTTTTTTAAATTCAAACAAATTTAGAAAAAATTCAAATAAAAAATTACAAAAATCCAACGGTAACACCTAATCATTAAGTTTTTAATATGTACCACAATTCATTCATAAAAATCTTAACAATATTTTTTTGTAGACACGGACATATAGAATAATCAGTCACCTTTTAAATTAATTTCATCCATTCAATAGCTACTAGATAATTGAATTATACATTAAAACTAAATAAAATCTCTGTAAATGTAACATCATTTATAAAAAAAAAATGAGTTTATTATTTGTATGTGACAATTATTGGCCTAAGAGAAGAACTATACCACTCATGGACTTTTCTTTAGCTGCCAAATCCACCACTAGGGCTAGGCATGGGACAGGCTGGGCCGGGCCTAAATTTGGAAGAACCTGGCCCTATTCGTTTTAAAATGTAACAAGCCGGGCCGGGCCGGGTAGAAAGATTTTGAGTTTGGGAACTGGACCTAACCGCCCATTTGCACTACTTAAAACATGAAAAATAAATCCTACAAACATTTTTTGCACTGCATGTGTTTAAACAGAACAAAATCAATGTATATACTCCGCACATGTTAATGATTCTTCCATGCATGTCCCGAAATTAGCAAACCATGAAATCCCAAATCCATAGTTTCTAACAGAACCCATTACTCTTACGCACAAAACTACATCAAATCAATCTCACAAATAACCAATTTGTTCAACTCGGCAAATCGTACCAAAGACGTCGTCTTCCTCACCGATCCAAGACCTCCACCCTTGTTATTACAAATTACATTAGTTGATGAATCAAAACAAAATCAGAAACCCACAAAATTCCTAAATTAGAAACCCACATAAATCAAAAACCCTAAATTCCTAAATTAGAAACCCTAGTTCATTAAATAAACCGTGTCGCTTTTAAGCGACATAAAGTTGGTGTGGGAATAGGTGTTGCTTCTAGCTGACACTAATTATTGTTTTTAAATATTTTAAAGCCTGTGTCGGTTCTGACTGACATAGATTTTAATTTTTTTTTAAATGTTTTGAAACCCAGTGTTTGCTGTAGGCGACAAATTGATAGCCTTTATATACTCTCCCTATGTTTTCTTCTTATACCGTCATGTCTGTTAGGCTCATGTTGGTCTGAAATGATGCAACTTTTCTTATTTCGACACCACTTACATCACTGTCAACTCTGTCAGACTCACGTCGGTTTTAACCGACACAATCTATTCCTATTTCGACAACACTTGCCTTTATATACTCTGCCTGTGTCTTCTTCTTACTCTCTCGCATCGTTCTTATTTGTTCTTTCAATTTATAAACCCTCTCCCGTGTTTTCTTGTTCCTCTCTCACATCTTTTGTATTTGTTCTTCCAACTTCATTAATTCCTTCTTCACCACAGTAAGTTTTTCTTGCTTCTAATATTTTTATTTTCCCTCTTATGTTTAATTTTTATTTACAATTTATTTTGGTAGGGAATTTATTTGAGCTGGTTGAGTACATAAAGAATTGATCAACAATGGAATTCTTCCATAATTCAGGTTTCTATCACTAAATTCCTTACTTTTTAAATTGTATAATACACAAGTTTATTTATTTAAAAATTCTAATTTAAGTACTTAGATAAATTTCTACTATTTTTGTGAAATTAATAAATATTTAGCCAAATTGATTAATTCTGTCACTTGAATTGTTATGAGAAAATGGAAATGAACAATATTTATGAGCATTTATGTTAAATTAACAATATTAAATATAACATAAACTTATAATATTTAGTAATATAAGAATATATTATGTTAAATTAATTTGTTTTGCACTCTAATTGTTATTTTAATTTGTTTTTGTTGTTATTTTGATAACTTTGATAACTTTTTGTTGTTATTTACTAGAATAAATTATATAAGCATAATTTTGATAACTGTTTGTTGTTATTTTAATTTATTTTTACTATAATAGGTGTTGAAAATTAAAAGATTGCAATCATGATAGAGTTTGAGGGTTGAAAGATAGAAATTGAAAATTCTAGTAGTTATGCCTACATGATAGGGATTGAAAGATTGTAGGGATCTTAGTGTCAACGTAATATTTTACCCTCGTAAAGTGGTAAAGCATGAACAAGAGTTGGTTGACTGTGATGACCCGTCTCAAATTATTGTATATATTTATCCCCAAGTATGTAAAGTGACGATAATACCCTCAAGGCTTAGTGACGTGGATGTATGTATATGGTTTTAAATTATCTTTCTCGTTGATGTCATTAAATTGTACGCATCGTCACGAGTGTGTTGACGCGAATTAGGGCCGAATCAGGTTCATAACGAAAAGGTTACGAACATTAGAATATATTTGGGTAAAAATAGGAAAATAAAACCTAAACTAGTCACAATTATTCCTATATTTCCTAGACCAATCAAATTTGGGGGTTGAAATTATATTTTTTGGGCCACTTGGACTCTTTCTCTCTCTCCTTTCCCTTACACGGTTGCCCAATGGGAAGCCTTTAATATTTTTCTTTCGCTAACCCGTGACAGATCACGCACACACACACACACACACACACACACACACACACACACACACACATACAAACCTGCATTCTCTCCATCTTTCTCGAACTCTTTCATTTGTCTGTACAGCTGAAGGCATCACACTCAAACTGAACCAAAACCTCACAGATCGAACTTCTAAGGACCACCATCGGGTTCCTTGCAAGCCCGCGAGCCTAACCATACCCTTTGTTCAAAGAAAGGACGTCGAAATCATGAAGAACCAGGTACTTTGTTACTCTGACATGATCGTCGACATTTCATGAGATTTTAAGGCTAAAAAAGGGTCCTAATCAACTCTATAAGGATCCTAGCTAGTTTGGAGTGGTTCGAATGTCAGAATACTCAGGTTTGTCGAGTTCCAATTTTGGCCAGTTGTGTCGAGCTATTTTCCGACCATTTCCCGAAGGTTTTAGGTCTTCAAATAGGTAAGATTATGATTCTCCTTGTTGAGAGCTTCAAATCTATAGAAGATTTGTGAAATTTGGTTGAAAAACGAAGTAGAAACTAAGGTTTTAAGATTTTCCAGAATCCAGCATTGCAGACGGCGGCTCCGACGAAGACCACCAGAGAAGACAGTAGAATGTTCTGTCAACTTTGACGGAATATACTAACGGCGTTAGGTAAATATAATGGAATATGCTTTTATTTAACGGAATATTCCTAACGCAGTTAGGGTTTCCGTCCAACTGTTCCAAGCACGTGCCTTAGCCGGCGTGTGAGGGTGTGTGAGACATCAGAAATTTTTTCTAAAAATATGGGGATGCTTGTGGTGTTGAGTAGGCCATGATGGTATATTCAAACACCCCAATTGAGTAACGTATGATAAGTTATTACATGGTTTTGGTTATATACTTTCAAATTAATGTTAAATTAGTTATTTCACATATAGGTGAGACGTTTCCAGATGACGAGTGTAGCCAAGTGAGACTCGGGGGTTACGACCCTGCTACATACCAGTGTGTGGGCTTTTGTTTTCTAGATATACGTATATATGCTTTACGATTTCCAAAAACTATTTTTAAATGAATTCAAGATTTAAATGCCATGTCAAGGATGCATTATATTTTAGTATTTGCATTAGTATAGTTTTGCATAATATCGAATGATGTTGCGGAGGCCCATGTAAGCTTCAGGTGAGTGCATTATGATGATAGTGGTTGCATTGTGTATGGGTATGTGTAGATGTATTTAGAGCTCATTATCTTGCACCCCGGTGTTAGTGCTCCCGCCCAAGGCCAGGGCACAGCCTTCACGTGATCATTCACCTCCCGCATCGTACGCTCAACTTGGATCCAAGTTTGTTGCCAGCATGTCATACATACCACATTAGGTGGTTCCAACTCGTAGGTGACCCGCGATTCATCGCACATCCTTCACGTGATCATAGCACTTGAGCGTACTTTTTACACCCATCATGTCGTACAGACCACATTAGGTGGTTCTGACTCATGTGCAGGAATATGTTGATGATCTATAGGTTCAGTCATACATGTCACATTAGGTGACTCCGACTGGCATATTATTTTGCATTAATTCATATCACTGGGCTTATACATATTTATTACTCAGATACTTGACATGGCATATACTTCGGTTTTCATTGCTCTCAAGCATGATTTCTATATACGTATGTATTATTATTTTCTGGGAAATTATACGGGTTTTACGGTGAGGGGTTATTATTTTTGGAAAGAGAAATGGTTTCAAAAAGTTATGTTTTTGCTCATTCACATTTTCTATTTTGCGCCCCTCCAGGTTCTAGTTAGACGTTCGTGTTGGTGGCTTACAAGGACTCTACGACGGTTCTGATAGACTTCAAATAATGTAGGAATTTCTTTCATGTCTTGTATAATTAATATTTAGCTTGCTGGACTGCATCTAGGTTACCTATGCTCTGAATATGTGTATCTATACTTTAAGCACCTCCACACACATTTATATATTTATCTAGTGTAAATTAGCTAGTTTGGTTTTTATTTACCCACATTTTCATATCATTATCACTCCCGCACTGCGCACATGGCTATGTCACCCTCATGTGATGGTCAACATGCCTCGATTCTGGTCGGGATGTGTCATTGATGATACCACGAAATTTTCAAGCGTATACAACTGGAATTAATTTGTTTTTGGATCAAGCAATTGCAAATGTTGTTGGCCCTGATAAGTTTAGATGTCCTTGTAATGTATGTTGTAATTGATATACTTTTGTTAGGAACACTATTGTTGAACATCTCATATTGTATGATATGGATAAAGATTATAAAAACGCTTGGTGGAAACATCATGGTGAGCAAAACATTGGAGAGCAAAATGTGGCAATTGGAGAAGAAGAAACAGGAGATGAGGTGACTGGTATGCATGGTTTTCTTAATGATGTAATTGTCCAACCATTAACAGAAGAAGATGTTGGATTGTCTATTGAACCCCCTATTGAGGAAGGGTGTCCAAAAGAGGTGGAGATTTTTTTTAGGTTGCTTGAAGAGGCAGATCAAGATTTGTGGCCATGTTGTAAGGAGTCTAAGAAATTGGAAGCAGTTGTAAGACTGTATCAGATCAAGTGTTTAGCGGGAATGCTAGATGAGATCTTCACCACTTTACTGGAGTTAATTAAAAGAATGTTGCATGAAAGGGATTGTTTGCCTGAATCCTATTATAAGGCAAAAAAACTTAAAAATGACTTGGGTTTGTCGTATGTGAAAATTGATGCATGTCCCAATGATTACATGATCTATTGGAAAGATACTTCAGAGTTGACCGTGTGGTCGAATTGTGGTAAATCAAGATACAAAATTACCAACACAGAAGATAGCTCGAGAAAAAAGGTCGCAGCTAAGGTTATGCGGTATTTTTCTTTAAAAGCACAATTGCAACGATTTTTTTATGTCAAAGCATACGGCTGAACATATGAGGTGGCACGTAATTAAAATGATTGGTTAAAAATCTTATCGAAATCTTGGCTAAATTATTGTAAACAAGAAGTGACACGTGGCATGTCGGGATTGGTTGAAATCTTAGCGGAAATCTATTCACAAAATAGTACGTTTGGATAATGACACGTGACGTGACGAGATTGATTAAAAATCCTATCCGAAATTAAAACTATTTTATTTATTTATTATTTTATAAATAAATTATTAATATTTCAAATGGGCTGGGTGCCAGCACATTTTGTAGGGATAGAGGTCATTTATGCTAGCGTATTTTTAGACTGGGTGCCAACGCATTTTTTTTAGGGGTTGGAGATGCTTTTGCCTATTACTGTTCATTGGGATCTATTACTATTCACTGAGTGGATAAATGGAATGAGGGTTGGCGCAAAGTCTTTAGGGGTGAAATTGTTCTTGTAATACCCTCAGACCCCATTTGAATTAACTTTGTCATCATTGTTCAGCTCATGATAACTTTGTCATCATTGTTTAGTTCATGATTTGCTACATAACATTATTATATATTATACCAAACACTGTTTACAATTTACTAAAGAACATGTGATAACTTACACGTGTGATCCTGAGATGCTGGCACGATAATGGTTGCCTCCACCATATCCTGCAACCGCATCCGTTAGACAAAGAGTGTGCTCCGTAAAGTTATGAATGTACAAATGGCTTTCTTGTTGACTTTGATAATCACTGAATAATCTGTGAGATTCAACGCATAGAGATATAACCGTTTTCAGTGCATAATTAAAAACAATATAAAGATCCAAAAATGTAAGATAAGAAGTGGTTACCGTGTAAGAGACCAAACTTTAATGCCTTCATCCTCCGACCTCGAAATCAGCAGGGAGCATTCATCCCGAAATACCAAGCAACTAACACCTGTAGTGAGCATACCATTTCTTAAGCAGTCTACCAGTATTAACCTAAATAAATAGAAAAAAAAAATGTCCATTAGCATTTCAGAGCACAAAAATATAAATTCAAAGAGAAAAAGAAAAATGCTTAGGAAAATAACCTCCCACAAGTAGATATTCCCTGATGCGCCTTCGCTAATAATGTACGTGCCTTCACTGTTCGCAGCCAGCGGATTGATCGGTTCTTCTGGGAAGCTCTGGTCCTCAACTTGCGGCTGCACATCAAAATTCCCAAAATTCAATATTATTGCAAGAATTCCCAAAATTCAATAAAAATGCAAGCCTTTATCAATTGAGGAAATTCATCAAACTGGTTGTGTGCATACTGTATAAGAAATGAAGTGATCTAACTTGGACCAGGATCAGTACTGGACAGAGCCAGAGGAGGCAGAAGGTTCGCGAAGCTGAGAGGAGGAGAGGAAAAGTTCACCGACCCAGATGAGGTCGTGAGGCGGAGAGGCATAGTGCTTGTAGCAGAACTACTCGGCGCCGGTGAAGAGGTCCCTGTTATGACCCGATTCCAAATCCTTACTCAACTGCAAGTAAGGGTAACAATGGAGGAGAAGGAGGAAGAGAGAAGAAGAGTGGAGCTCTTGTTTGTTTTTGTGAAATAATATTTTCTAATTCAAATGACCCTTATGGCTCTCACACCAAAAGTGTGTGTACATATAGTCCCCTTACATCACTTGACAGGTGGCAGCAAACACATTTAACTAGTTATTCTCTTAATAAAAGTCTACTTCCACTACTAATTCCTGATTGTGATTAAGCTAATCACGAATCCTAACATTAACCCTTCCTCAAGTAAAACCTTATCCACTAGGTTTTTCAAAATTTAAAATCAGGGAATCTAGTTACAAAAGAATCATAGTCCTCCCAAGTAGCTTATTCTGGGGTGTCACCTTCCTAGTGAACCAACACCTGAACTGATAAGGAACAAATTTGAAATACACCAGATCCCCAACTGCAAACTCCATCTTAGTTCTGTGTTTATCCGTTTAAACCTTCATCCTGTTTTGAGCTAAGGACAAATTGGATTTGAGAATGGACAACATTTTATCCCTTTCTAGCAAGTTTTTCTCCACAGTATCTAATTTAGCTGACATAAAAATTTAATAAATAAGTGGCGTGCATGATTTCTTATATTGAATAATTTCTAAGGTTTTTTTTTTCTTTTCTTTTTTTTTTTGTTAGTGTTTCTCTAAGATTTTTTTTTTGTTTTTTTTTTTTAGTGCTTATCATTGTAGCATCATTTTTGTTAGAAACAAATTGCAATTTTATAAAAATCACATGAAAGCGCTTCATTAGTAGCAGTGCTTCTTAAAACCTTTCTTGAAGTACCGTCATCAGTTATGTGCTTTTTTTCAAATTAATTTGCATTTTTACAAATGATTGATTTCAAAAACATTGTCTTTAAAAATTACTTTCGGTCATTTAAAAACACTTCCGAAACACACCTTTAAACTTTGAATGATTATCAATTTTAATTATCATTCTCAAGATTATAAAATGTTGTTGGATGGAACGGTTTTCACACATTATCTATTCAACACTTTCTGTACATTTATTCGTAACTTTTCTTTGATTTAATTGAAAAACTAGAAATCACTTCTCAAATGATAATATCCATACGTAGCTATCGACATGCATATTCATCCACCATCATGATCTCTACATAGCTTATCACGTCTATTTTATTTTCTTTGGAGAAATGAGAGGAGGCAGCCATGCAAGTAGTGGTGAAGCTACGTGAGGGCGAGGAGTAGCGGTCGCCCCTCCCTTTGCCAGAAAGCATGGCTAGGAGCGCTAGTTTAGCCCCTCCGCTCTTGTCGAAATCGAGGTTCAGGTGTTGGTTCGGTTGGGATTTGTAGACGAACAAAGGCGGATCTAGTGGGTTAAGCGGGGTGGTCCCAGGACCCTCCGGAAGTCTGAAAAGTAGCTGCGAGGACCTTCCAGGACCACCCGATGGCCAAGAGTTGTGGCTGAGGGGAGATATGCAGCGGGGACTTTATGTACAGACTGCAAATGGAAAATGAAGAAGAAGGTTGTTTTCTTGTTAAAATGAATCGGCTAAAACAGTCTGTTTGAGCCCAATCCAATTAAAATGAACGTGTGACCATCTATAACGTGACTCTTTCAAGTATAAAATCCAATTCCCTCGTCCAAAAAAAAAAAAAAATACAATTCCCATTTTAATATTTTATATAAGAGACCCTAATCGGTAATCCCAATGCCCAATCCCTTTTTCCTCTCTCCCCAGTTTCCTTTTTCTTTCTAACCCCATCTGACCAAGCCACCACCGCCTGTCCACCTCTCTCCTCTCAACCACCCTTCATTTCTTAATTTTATTTTTTTATATTTTAATAGTGTCCTAATTTTTAAAGGGAAGTGTTATTGGCATTTCAAAAATCTCATTCTACACTCCTCACAAGAGTATTTTTTTTCTTTCCTAATATAGAAAGTTTGAAGTTAGAATAAGATTTTTGGAGTGCTAATAACAATTCCCTTTCTAAATTTACATAAGTTTTCTAATTTTAGTTCAAAATAGAATGCTATTAAATTGATGTGTATCCGATAAAAATGTTAGATTCCAAATAGATACTAGTTATTGCTTGGATTGTAATTTATGATTTCTTTTATATTGATTTGATCATGTGATGGTTAGTGTAGACATCAAAATTTCGGTGAAATGAATGTTGACCAATAATTAAAATTTCAACGCTCACGTATCACATAAATTTTACATGTAGCGTGTGACTCAACGAAAAATCGAAATAAATTGAAAAAGTCATCAAATAGGACACGTGTCAATACCTAGCAGAAATGATTTATTTCATCTGATTATTTAAATCCAAAAATCAAGTTTTGGAATTCTATAAATAGGAGGCCAAGGCATTCATTTTGGGGAAGAAGAAAGGAAGGGAAATTGAGATCACACCCAAAACCTTGAAGCTTTGAAACTCTAAAACTCTCAAGCAAATCCCGAAGGATCAAGAAAGCAATCTTCGTTCTTCGTCAAATCCACCTTCAAGATCAAGCCCCGACAGCCCTTGAAGAACTTCCACCAACTCAAGATCAAGCCCCGACGGCCCTTGAGGAAAGTGCTCATCGTTCATCATCCACCTTCAAGATCAAGCCCCGACGGCCCTTGAAGAACTTCCACCAACTCAAGATCAAGCCCCGACGGCCCTTGAGGAAAGTGTTCATCGTTCATCATCCGTTCATCCTAAGATCAAGCCCCGACGGCCCTTTGGATCAACAACCTCAACAAATCCACACATCCAATCGTTCTTCAAGATTAAGCCCGAAAGCCCTTGAAGATCCGCTCATCCATCAACCTTCAAGATCAAGCCCCAACGGCCCTTGAAGAACTTCCACCAACTCAAGATCAAGCCCCGACAGCCCTTGAAGAAAGTGTTCATCATTCATCATCCGTTCATCCTAAGATCAAGCCCCAACGGCCCTTTGGATCAACAACCTCAACAAACTCATACACCCATTCTTCAAGATCAGGCCCAACGCCCCTTCAAGATCCATTCATCAACTGTTCATCCTTAGATCAAGCCCCGACGGCCCTTTGGATCAACAACTCATCCACAAACCTACACCCTACGAAGATAGAATCAGAGGACCAAATTACAAAGAGATTGTAACCCCAAAATCATTAATACAAAAAAATATATTTTGTACACGTATTCTTGTCGCTTGTTTCAGGAATTTCTCGTGTTTACAAATTTGGCACGCCCAGTGGGACAATCTCTACCTCTCATCTCTATCCTCAAGTCATCGAAAAACGCAAATGGCATCAAGAAATGATCAAGCTGTTCCTGCAATCAAAGCAAAGAACAAGAACATCATCGCCGCAAGTGGTGATATTTCGGGCATCATAACCCGAAGTAAGGCAAGAGATCTTTTTGCCGCGGCTTCCGCCTCTGCATTAACTCTGTCAAAAGAACAAGAGCACCTGAGGTACGAGCCTGTGATCACCCTAGCCTCGCTAAAGGCATCAAAAGGGGAGAGCCCAAGGAAATACTCAGAGTCCCTACTCTCCGACGCTGATTCGAGCGGCAGTACAACCATGCAAGTCATGACCACATGAGCAACTTCAATCGAGGAGCAGCTAGCTCAGATGAATGAAGCAATCGCAAAGCTCACACGAACTGTGGAAGAGAAAGACTTGCAGATTGCCGCACTTGTCAACCAACTAGATGCGCTGCCCGACGTGAAAGTCGACCCAATTGTTGGCCTATTAAAGAAAGAAGACGACGAAGAAGAGGAGCCACCAGCGGAGAAAGTCGAAGAGAAGCCGAAGCTAGACCAAGCAACGACATCCATGAGATCTCTCTCTATCCAGCAGCTATAGGAGATGATCGCAAGCACTATCAAGACACAATACGAAGGAAGCTCGCATGACTCCGTACTGTACTCAAAGCCTTACTCCAAGAAGATTGATGCTTTGAAGATGCCAAGGGGTTATCAGCCCCCAAAATTCATGCAGTTCGATGGAAAAGGCAACCCGAAGCAACATGTCGCCCATTTCATTGAAACTTGCAACAATGCTGGGACAGAGGGAGACTACCTCGTCAAACAGTTCGTGCGTTCGCTGAAAAGTAACGCTTTTGACTGGTACACTGACCTCGAACCTGAGTCTATCAACAGTTGGGACCAGCTAGAAAGGGAATTCCTCAACCGTTTCTACAGCACTCGTCGTACTGTAAGCATGCTAGAGCTGACCAGCACGAAACAGTGGAAAGATGAACCTGTCGTCGACTACATAAATAGATGGCGTTCTTTAAGTCTGGATTGCAAAGATCAGCTTTCTGAAACCTCTGCCATTGAGATGTGCGTTCAAGGCATGCAGTGGGGACTACACTACATCCTTCAAGGCATCAAACCACGAACATTTGAGGAGTTAGCCACCCGCGCCCATGATATGGAGTTAAGCATCACCCGTCATGGGAAGAAAGAACAGATCGCCGACTACAAGAATGACAAAGTTTTGGGGCCAAAGGTGGATAAGGCTACGTGGAAACCCACCAAGGAAGCAATGACGGTCAACACAACTCCAGTCAAAATCCCTACACGAAGCAAGGCGATTCAAACCGAAGCTTTTCGTAATCAAGAGATACGTAGACGCACTTTGAAGGAGCTTGAGGAGAAGACTTATCCATTCCCCGACTCCGACGTGGTTGCCATGTTGAAAGACTTGCTTGACAAAAAGGTGATCGACCTACCTGAGCGCAAACGGCCAGAAGATATGAACCGTACTGACAGTCCAAGGTACTGCAAATTCCACCGCTTCATTAGTCATCCGACGGAAAAGTGCTTTGTGCTAAAAGATCTCATCATGAAGTTGGCTCAGAAAGGGATCATCGAGCTAGATCTTAATGATGTGGTGAAGACAAACTATACCACCGTCACTTCTGGCTCTTTGAACTCAAAATCTTCACCTCAACCGCTGGGGGCATGCTTCAAAACCATGTCAGTCAAGTCAAGTGAAGTTGAAGGATGGACTTATGTCACTCCAAAGAAAATGCACAAGAAACATAGGTCTCATCCACAAGTTCGCCAATCGGAAAGGGGGCAAAGCAGCTACCGTCAACCTTCAAAGCTACATGAAAGTGTTGAGGATGATGAAGTTACGACACAAAGATCGTCCGTTGCCATCACAATGCGCGATTTCTTCCCCAAAGACTTCTTCAATCACTCAGTCAAGACTCCTTGCTATGAAGATTGCAAGGAATGCCCCTTTAAGATCGTTTGACAAATTCAAAAAAAAGCTCCTCGTTCGCACGAGCCTAAAAGGCGACAACCAAAAGCTCCTTGTCCGCACGAGCATAAAAGGCGACAGCAAACGCTCCTGGCCCGCAAGAGCATAAACTGTGTACGGCAAAATCATCATCAAAATCATCATCAAAACCA